CCTGAAATATAGACATGTGTTTACACCACCCATTTTTAACTGCATTTTCCTGACAATGTTTTCTACATCAATTCTACCCTTTGGACTTGACAGCAGGTTTTTGTTTGTTTGTTTGTTTGTTTGTTTGTTTAGATTAATGCAAAGTCAAATCTTCCTAATGTTTTTTGAAAAGTTCAGATTAGTTTGATTTTATCAAAAAAATGTGGAGATATATGATCAATTATTAGTTCACTGTTTACTTGTGTTGTCATGGAAATAGGTAATGGGTTGATTTCATCTAATCAGGTCAGAAGTGAGAGCGTTTGGCAGTTTTGAAACCTTGAATTTTATTTTTCTTGAGTAAGCTGCAGAAGGCTAGAATCAGGCACAGAAGCAAGCTGAGGGATTCTGACTTTAGGTATCTAGACAGTCAACAAAGAAAGTGGTTTCAGTTGTCTGAAGACTCCAAGAACCTGAGAGTTTCCCCCCAACCCGGCATAACAGTCAGTCTCCTGCTGTCTGGTTATGCCAGGTTTGTGCCACTTCCCTTCTCAGAATTTCTCTGCAGCCAACAAGTATATCACCAGAGTGATATGCTAAGATCTCTACATCCTTATGTTTTTATTGATTCCTACCATTGTCTGTCCTTTATTTCTCCTTGTCTTCCCTGTAGTTTTTCTTGGTGTTGCTAAGGTATTTGACCCACAGCTATTCATAGAAGTTCATCCTTATTGTGAGGGGTAACTTTTGACATTATAGAACGTGTTTGTATTAATGTTTTTCTTTTTATGAGACAAAGTCTCATTATGTATGTGAGGCTGGCTTCAAACTGATATCAGTCCTCCTGCCTCAGCTCTCAAGTGCCGGGATTACAAGTGTGTGAGCCATTAAGCCTGGGTTTTGATTAAAATCTCTAGTCTCATGAATTGGCATGTCGTTCTTACACAAGGGCTACACTAATATTTTCTATTATCATTCCAATTTTGAAGTGAACACTATAAATTTTTTAAATATTTATTTTGTGTGTGTGTGTGTGTGTGTGTGTGTGTGTGTGTGTGTGTGTGTATGCCTGAGTATATGTACATGCACGGCATGTATATAGGAGTCTGCAGAGGTCAGAAGAAGTACTGAATCCCCTAGAACTGGAGTTACAGGTGGTTGTAAGCTGCCATTTGAATACTGGGAACTGAACTGGGTCCTCTGCAAGAGCAGCACCACCTGGGTCACAGTTCCTCAGGAAGGTAGGAACTCAGGACAGGAACCTGGAGGCAGGAGCTGAAGTGCAGGCCAAGGAAGATGCTGCTTACTGGCTTGCTCCCCTGGTCCATGCTTAGTCTTCCTTCTTATACAATACAGAACCACCTGCCCAGGAACCACCTACAGTGGGCTGGGCCCTCCCACATCACTCAACAATCAAGAAAATGCCCCCACAGATATGGCTACAGGCCAGTCCAATGAAGGCAACTCCCCACTTGAGGCTCCCTCCACCCAGGTGTGTCAAGCTGACAACTAAAGCCGTCCAGCACAGCTCTTTCATCTTCAACCTTTCTGGGTAATTTTATTTTTGGCACCTTGTACACATTGACTTTTGTTTTGCTTTGGGATTAAGTCTTAAATCCTTTTGTTGTTGTTGTGTGATGTATACATTTAGGTTTATTTATGTATATATGTATGTATATATGAATATATGTATTTATACCTTATTCCTTTGAGATAGAAGTCTGTTTCTGAACCTGAGGCTTGCCTGTTCAGTTAGGATGGCTGGCCAGCAGGCTCCCAGGATCCACCCTCCTCTGCCCTCAAATACTAAGTTTACAACAGACAAGTCCAGCTATTATGAGGGTTCTGGGGATTTGAACTCAGGTACTCATGCTTGTACCACGAGTGCTCTTATTCACTGAGCCATCTCCAGCTTCTGAAATTCCTTTCCTGTTGTTTACCTGAATTGTGTTTATTGATTTGTCACTTTTAGACTTAGTTTTGTTAGACTTTCCCATCCTTAAACTTTTTTTTTTTTAACATTTAATGATTTGGTTTCTCTATTTCTTTTAATAATTAGGGAGATTTAAGGAGATTGCAGTTTTGCTCTCATAGTTCTTTCTTTGGAGTACCATGTTTTCTACTTATTTAGTAGGTGTCTTTTTAAAATTATTTTTATTTTATGTGTACAAGTGTTTGCCTGCATGTATGTAAGTGCACCTGTGTCATGCATTGTTCTCAGAGGTCAGAAGAGAGCGTCGGATCCCTTGGAACTGGAGTTACAGTTAGCCGCCATGTGGGTACTGGGAATTGAACTTGGGTCCTCTGCAAGAACAGTCAGTGCTCTTAACCACCAAGCTATCTCTCCAGCTCCTTAGTATCTTAATATTTGTAATTTACTTTTATAATTACAGAATTAGTATATTTCCATCTCTCAATGTTGTCAGTCTATTCTTTCCTAGTGTTTGCATCTGTCCTACCCCATCCATATACCTCCATTACTAATTTGTCATTACTGCAGAAAGCTTCCCGACTAGTCTCCTCTTACTAACCCACAGCACACCCAGAGCATTCTTCCTAAAGTCGTTTGTATCACAAATGCTCTGTGGCAACTGATACCTTACAAAACTTGCACTCTCTTCTGGCCTTCAAAGCTCCATAACCCAGTCGTACCCTACCCTTACCTTACTATGAATATTCTTTTTTTTCTAAATTGGCACAAACCTGTGTAGACCACTTTGGGACTATTCTTTGATTTACCCTAAGTCCCAAGAGCCTACATTGTAATAGGTTCCCCATCACACACGGGAGAGCAAGACAAAAACTCTGCGAATAACAAACGTGTTCCATCTATGAAATACCTGGAAGGGATGATACTCCAAGCTGTCAAAATCACCACAAGGATAGAGAATCTGCCATAACACAGACTTACCTGAAAGAAGATCTAACTACAAAATGTGATACTCTGGATAGGAAACTGTGATGGAAGCGAGATATTATGGACTGCGTGAGTTGGCTTTTTGTTGCAGCTGGGAAACGAGAGGGTCCAGGGGTCCGAACACCCTTCAAGGGCATGCCCCAATGACTAATTTCCTTCCATAGGCCCACCTTATAAAGGTTCCGCTACCTTTAAGAAGAATTAGCAGCAGGGGACCAAGATTTTAACATGGTCTTTGGATTTTTGATCCAAATCATAATTGAGAAAAACCTAAGGAAATCTTGGACTGGGGAGATGGCTCAGTTGGTAAAACGCTTGTTCTGCAAGCATGAAGACCAGAATTCAATTCCCCAGAACCCACGTTTTTTTTTTTTTTTAAAAAAAAAGGTGGTGGGGGCTGGAGATATAGCTCAGTAAATAAAGTGCTTGTGCAAGCATGAGGGCTGGGGGCTAGACCCCTAGCACCCACATAAAAACCAGGTGGGCATGGTGGCCTATCTGTAATCTCAACACTCATGAGGCAGAGACAGGAACCCCAGTTCAAGCTGGCTAGCTAACTGAAGTGGAGAGTTCCAGGTTCAGCAAGTGATCCTGCCTCAGTAAATAAAGTGGAAAGTGACTGAGGAAGACAGCTGATATAAACCTCTGGCCTATGTACACATTCGAGCATGCGTGTATACACGCACACATGCGCATGCACACACACAAACACACAGACCAAAAAAAAAAAAAAAAGCCTGTAACCCCAGCACTGGGAGGTGGGGTGGGGAGGGGGGGTTCCAAGAGCTTGCTAGCTGGTCTAGCTTATCAGTGAGCTCTAGTTACAGTGAGAGACTCTCAAAAAATAAAGTGCAGCTGAGGAAGACACCCGACATAACCCTCTGCCCCCCCAAACATGTACACATACACACAAAAATCTGAGCAAAATATGGACTTCCATTCATCATGTGTCAATATTGGTTCATTGTGACAAGTGGACCATCAACCTAAAACGAGATTAGGAGTGAAAACTAGGTGTGGCACATAGGGAATTCTATAAAGTTGTTCTAAAATGAAAAGGTTATTAAAAGGAAAAGGAACAGAGTTAAGATTCGCACATCAGCAGAATGCACAAACAGTACATCATACCATTTTAAGTCACAGATCCATCCCTTTGAGTAAATAATGAAACTATGGACAGCAGAAATCTCTAAATTGTAATCACATCAGGGGCCAGGACTCCAAATTAAGAACTCCATTAAAACTCAGGTGGCAATGATTACCTGACAGTCTTTCAGTAAGGGTAAAGACTGACAGGGTTGGGGACGGTAGCCCCAGATTCCCTTCCCAGCAGCTCTCAGCTTTATCTTAATTTTGTCAATTGACTGTACTTGTTATTTTTTAAAAACAAATCTAAGGGATTTTAAAATGGACATTGAGTGATTCCTAAACCATCACAATTATTAACCTGAGTTTCAGACTCTACCATTCTAATTGCTTCTAGTGTGCCAGCCATATCTATCAAGGTGTAAGCTGCTTGAGCCTGGGGAGGCTGTCTTCCACTATGTTCTTCAGAAGCAGCTGGGGAACTGCTTGCAGCCTGGGGTTCAGAAGCATAGTGCATGGCTCAGTGCACTGCTTTAGAATGCTGGCTGTTCTTTTGGTTACATCTTTTAAAATTCAACCCTAAAGAACATTACACTCTCTTGGCAGCTGGTGTTAAAGCTGCAACAAAATCGGTTTGAGTTGAATTAAATAGCAATGATATTTATATTTAGGTGAACAGATCCTTACTAGTCAGTGTTCTCTGTCTCATCATAGATTGGATCATTTTTGTCTGGATTTTTCTTAAAAGGTCAGATTTTCTGAAGCATCACTTTTTAAGAAATTAGGATTTACAGTTAGGAATGTATAATTCCTTTGATGCTCAAAAGGTAAAATGTCATCCTAAACACTCAGGATGAAATACAGGACAGGACAATGTTTCCTGCCACACTGCACATCTGGTTGCCTCTTAGTAAATACAATTATGATTCTAAGCCTGACATATGTGACAAGATGGCTTGATGAAGCTATAACTTACAAGCATATATTTAAAACAAAAGCAGTAAGGCCATTTTAGTGAAAACTAGTTTTATTTTAAAATTAAGTGCATAGCACTCATCTAATTCCACTGTGTAGACTTCAGCACCATATTCACTATCTGTAATCAACATCATAGCACAGATATATTTTGGTTTGCAGTTTTGTACTTGAATAGTGTTTATTAATGGACTTTGGTTAAGTCCTCTATACATATCATTAATCTCTTCACAGTGCATATTTAATGATGGTCCGGTGATCTCAAAAACAAAACAAAATGAAACTTTAAAGACTAATCAATAAATTAAACAAAACAAAACCCACACAGTTCCCCACCCCCAAAAGCTAACAGTTGTTGAGTTGTATTTATAGTGAAACCTAATGTTTTAAAAATAGTTAAGGGTTCTCCAACCTCCCCACCCCACCCTGGGTATGCAGCAATAGTAATCGATTATTTTTTTTCTACCCCCCAAAAAGATTAATCCAGTGTTCTTTAGTTTTTAAAATATAAATTGGAAAAAGTGTTAATAAGCTTTTTAAAAAGGCAAATACTCTTCTATAACAAGAATGACATATAACCAATCAATAAAAGCATTTGACAAGACATTAAATTACCACAGGCACTGGCTGTTGTTTCAAGTTAGGATTTCTATCCCAATATCTTACATTCATAACATTACTGAGGTAGTTATAATACTGAAAACTGGACTCCAGGTTGCTGGGTTCTGTTTGTGAATGTGAAAGATTCATTATGTTTTGAACCTTACTTCCCTCCAATAGTTCAAGTTTTTAACATAAGAATTACTAAAATCCAATTAGCAGCCTTTTTAAAGAGGAAAAGTGGCATGTTCATAAAACGATTTTCATGCCTGAAAACTGCCAAGAGTGTATGCTCTTACCTGAGTGGTTTTTGTTTCATTTACCAGACCAGTAAGTCCACATCATGCCCTATGTATTCTAAATATAAAAGTTATCTTCTGTTAAGGAAAGGACATTTCTAAGAATTCATGCTGGCAGAAGCCACCACTCACACTCATCCACTGGTGCTGCCTGGATCAGTCCATTACGATGTGGAGCCCCTTCCCTTCCCTTCCTAACAAAGGCCATTGGCTTGATTACTGAGACTCCAGCTGCATACCCACATCTTATTGTAAGTTTTCTTCAATGCACACTGTGGCAGTCACATATCTGCCACACAGATTCCCTTCTATTCAAGTGCTAGCACATAAAAACACAGACACACCTTCTAACTTCCCTCCACTGAGTTTCTCTTCTCCCATGGATAGGAGCATAATGTATACAGTTTATCATTACCTTAAAATCTTTTTTATTTTTTAAGTTTATTTCCTCCAAATGTCTCATGGCCCAGTTGTACTTGCTGTAATGACTATTATTGCTGTTCCCACTCACTACCAATACAATGAAATGTTCCAGGGCCAATCTAATGAAAATGGCTACTGAAATTTTGCAATTAGTACCCCTGCTTGCTTAAGACTGACTAGCTGGATTCCAAGGCTGCTTATAAAATCATCTTCCACTAACAAAGTGCTGCATTAGCTCAGCCTGAGTACCACCCTGGCTACCCTCAGCTCTAGAATAAACCTACTGCACTTTATTCTAGTACTGGTATTTTACAGTTACGTCTTTTCTCCTGAAAAACTTTTTAATGAGCAACAACAAATCTGCTATAAATCACTGATTGCACTGGGTGATGCAAAACCTGTCGATGTATTAGCAATCACAGGACACAAATCATTCATCCTGTGCTATTTTAGGATCTCATTTAAAATCACATCCTAGCAGGAGTATTCTAAGCCTGTGTTATGCAGGTAGTTCACACTGTTAACACTCCCAAAGCATGTTGCATTACAGTTATGCATTTCCAAGTAGTACAAATTCCCTGAGTTAAATGTGTTTTAATTCTAAAGACTTGAGTTTGATCACTTAGGGAGGGGAAAAAAAACAAACCAAAAACAACAAAAAAAAAATCAAACAGCAAAACAAAATTATGACCATGATTTCAAGATAATTTCAGTATCTGCCTCGCCCCTAATTTTAGTATATAAATTCAGATACCTATATTATTTATGATAGGAAGTTAAACAGAATGATCTGAATTTCTTTAACTACACATATTAGTATGCATAGCAATTCATGAGTTCAAGCTTAGAAACCCACCTGTAGGTCAAAAATAAAACTCAAAGCTGCAGAATTAAAAAAAAAAAAAAAAAAAAAAAAAAAACTCTTAAAAAATTAATACTGTAACTTTCCTTCATAAAAGACAGTTTGGCAAGTCCACAGATAAACAGTCTTTGACATATGAGCCAACATAAGGCCCAAAGCCTACCACAGGTCGAATCTCAGAATGGCAAATTGGAGTCCCCCAAATTTCCTGACGTATTGAGTATTTTGAAATAAATGGACCATTAGCTAGGGCTGGAACATTTCTGTCATACAAGGATTTGTTAACAGGATTTGATATACATTACAATGTCTGCAGAGTTCTCCTAGGTATCCATGATGTATTGGAAGGGATATTCAGTCTTCCTGGTGCTGGTACCTGACTAATTCTGTTTATTTGTATTCCTTTCCTTGTGAAGAAAGGATTACAAAAAGCTTGCCCCAGAGCTAAAGGCCACAGAATAGTCTGTGTCACTTATAACCTGCACACATGATCACCTCTCAAAGCATGGAGTGATACATGGGTAATGTTCATTTATCTGATAACTCCGGTTATAATTAACACTCAGACAGGGTTTAACTTCCACTGGTATTGCCAAGGACATCCCCACACCAGTCTGCATGTGCCCAAGGCCCTGAGCACTAGTTTGCAAGTCAGTAGGACACGTCTGTAGTGTGTAAGATGAGGTGTGTGTGGTAGACACAATCTGCTGACAGCTGGGCTGTTCGGATACAGGGTGGCGATACTGCAGGGAGGTCTGATGAGTCTGATGAAGATACTGAGGTTGCTGAAAGTGAACTGGCCGTGAGGGCTGGGACGCCGTCTGGAACACACCCAGTTGTGCTGACTGAGGGCCTGCCTGTCCCCTCTGTTTGTTTGCTTCTTTCACATCATTGTCATGAGCACTGAGATATAGATAGAACAGAAACAATTAACATTATTTGACAAGAATGCAGGAGAGACCCACCTCCCCCATAGCTTATTCCATAAACTGCCACTACTGCTACCTAAATTGCAGTCACTGCACCATAATCCAACACTGAAACCTTCCTTCCATATTTTTTGTTTTGTTGGGTTTTTTTGTTGCTATCTGGGGGGGGGGGTGTTGTTTTTTTGAGACAGGGTCTCTCTGTAGCCCCAGGTGGCCTGGAACTCACTATGTAGACCAGATTGGCCCCAATCTCAGATATATGCCTGCCTCTGTCTCCTGAGTGTGGGGACTAAAGGCATATGCCACCACACCCAGCTTTCCTTGTATCTTAACAAAATGCTTTCTCTTGGTGCAATCCTTGCTGGTACCTTTGAGGGCTCTTTCTAACTTGGCCAATGAATTCACAATAATCACTTTAAGTGTAGCTGCCAGTCTATATCCTGGTGAACCCTAATATTCAGTGATGTGGAGATGGGATATGGAGTAAGATTTGCCTGAAACAATCTCAGAGGCCTACAGACATGAGGGCAGCTCCTTCTCCTGTCAAGTGCTTAGAATCATCAGCAATGGTAGCTTTTACATGGTTCACAAAGAACACTTTTCTGCAGAGCAGGATGTGCTCAAGCAACGTTCTCACAGAAGCAGGACCTAAGAGCCGTAGCTGTTGAGATGTTGCTTTTAGGGTATGTGACATGAAGGAAAATGTTAACTAGAAATTACAACAAGAGCAAAAAGGCTTACACCAACAGCCGTTCAATACACTGCACTAAGAAATCCCAGGAGTAAGCAGTTAGCCGATGCAGTCTTGCAGGCCACGTTGGAGAAAGACGAAGTATAATCCTCGAAGAAGCCACACATGCAGCAGCTACTAAAGAAGGTGCATAATTTAGAAAGGCATAATCTGTGGAGACACCAAAAATGATCTTAAGCAACAGAGCACACGAGTCACCAGTGCACAAGTCACTTGCTGCTATCCTCAGCGGCTCACCTTGCAGAGACACTTCCAGGAAGTAATCTGCATATTTGGCCATGTAGAGCTTTGTTTTTTCCAAGCAAATCATTGGCCAGCCATCATGAAGATCTGTTTCATGTACTGCTTCAGAGAGGTAATACTCAATGAAATGGGCAGCTGTAGGAAGGCAGAGGTTCCACTGAAAGGTTTCTAATAACAATAGTTCCATATGTAGCAAATTTTGTTTTGTTAGTACTAGATTCATGTTAGTCATACAACCCAGGCTGTTGAGCTGCTCCAGCTTAGGCACACTATCTTCTTTTTCTTCAAATTTACCTTGTAAGATAAGAGGAAGGGATGGAGAAAATGTCAGGCAAGTGATTACTAGAGGTCTGGTCAATTAACTAGGACTTGCTAGCTTATTACCAGGATATAGATGTAAAAGCATCCTCTCCTCTATCTCACACAGATACGCTTGCACCAGAATGTTCTTCTGTTCCATATTTGCATGTTGCCTTTCCAAGTACCTCCCCAGCCCTGACCTTTAACCATCCTCTGAAAAAAAATGTGCTTAGAATATTTGAATAGTGCCCACTGTATGAAGGAAATAGTCATTCATGTTAATGAGAAAGTAACTCTCATATCCCTCCAGCTGACTCTTTTCACAAAGTTCCCCTTTTGTGGGCAGGTGATGATTGGATAAAGAAAATTATTTTTGAATAGAAGCAAGCTTTAAGAATTTAATGTCAGTCGGGCATGGTGGTGCATGCCTTTAATCCTAACATTTGGGAGACAGAGGCAGGCGGAGCTCTGTGAGTTCCAGGCCAGCTGGGGCTACAGGGAGACCATGTCTCAAAAAGGCCAAAAAATAAAAAATAAAAAAATTTAATGTCATAACTATCTGGTCAAGTGCTCTACCCCTGAGCCATATCTCCCAGCAGTTCATAACCTTATCTGAGAACTAGTCAGGCATCAAATATTTCATCTTGACATATTTTCAGCATAATCTCAATGAGAGATAAAAAGGAGATTTGGAGGAAAAATTGAGTAAATGTCTTTAACGCAGGCACTGTTATTTCACAAAACTCTACCTTTATCTCTCTCTTTTGAATTCAAAATAAATATTTAGGTTTATCTTTCAAAAAGTGGAAGGGGATCTAGATATGGTGAAGCATGCATTATGATGCAATGCCTCCAATAATTTAGGAGACTGAGACAGGGCAGTGAGTCTGAGGCTACATATGGGTTATGGAGTGAGAACCTGTCTCAAAAAGCCAAAAAAACTGGGCCAGCAAGATGGTGTTTGCCACAAAAGCCTGGTAACCCGAGTTCGATCTGATGAGTGCACAAAGGTGGAATGAAGGAGAGAACTTACTCCATAAAGTTGTCCTCTCATCTCCACTGGGCACACATGTCCAAGCACATAGGCTTCTCTCCCTCCAACAGTAAGTAAAAAGCCAAGGGGTGGGATTCTATCTTTTAATTCTCTTTCTCAAAGCAGAACAGGAATAAAGATGCACAGTAGGATTTCATGATTTGAAGGCATTAACCTCTTAAAAAACACTCATCTAAGTAAGGTTTCAACTACTCACAGCTGAGGAATAAGGTTTACTTAAGCCCAAGAAATATGTTTCCATAGATTATGTACCACTTTACATTTTAAAATAAATAAGCATTTATTAGATATAAAGCATGCATTTTAGGTATTTCTGTAACCTGTGCCTGAAGAAAATTTACAAACTATCAAGTCTTGTTCTGATTTTTCCAGATAGAGTAACAGAACCAGAGAGTTGTCCTGAGTCTCTTAGTCTGTTCCATGTAGCCCATGAAAGAGCAGAAATTAGGACTAAAAGCATTCTACCTCTCAGTACTGTGTTCCATTTTACACTGAAGCTGATAAAATCATATTATATTGCAATTGCAGATTTTTCACAATAGAGTTTACATTAATATTTATTCAAAAATATTGTTGGAAAGTTATTTTTTTAATGTTTTATTTATATGTATGGGCATATTGCCTACATGTAGATAGGTGCATTGGTGTTATGCAGTGCCCAAGGAGGTCAGAAGAGGGCATTGGACCTCCTGCAACTGGAAGAGTTACAGACGGTTGTTAGCCACCATGTGGGTCCTCTGCAAGAACAGTCCCCGTGTGGGTCCTCTGCAAGAACAGCCAGTGCTTTTAACTGCTGAACCATCTCTCCAGCCCCTGGAAAGTTATTTTTAAAAGCATACATTGCTATATAAAAATTGTTTTAATATTTTGAAAACAATTTCAATATTATCTGCTCTCTCTTGAAACCTTATACTTTTACCCATTAAGTAATTTCTGAAGAATAGTAAGAAAAACTACCAAGCAAATAAACCAAATGTTTCCTGGTGAAGGTTGTCTTCTTGAGGGGATGGATGTAACACAGGTTAAAGCTGCTACAACAGATGGCAGAGCCATGGCCACTTGGTGCTGCTGGCCAGGGCGTAGGCAGTGGTGCTGGAACCGGTGGGGGATTGCTGATCTTGGCCTATGTTGAGACTGGGGAAAAAGTACTGCTGCCTACCTTGGAATTCACTCAGGGAGCAGAACTGGGGTAGAGTTTTTCTCTGGTACCAGGAGATTCTAAGCTCTTGTCTTGAGAAAAAGTTAAACCCAAGGAAGCAGAAGATGGTGGCTATTTCTGCTCTACAATGACTCTGAACTTCTTTATCTAAACCACTTTTTGGTTTGTTTTTGGTATTGGGTACTCAACACTGAGCTCTATACATGTTAGACAACTGCTTCACCACTGAGCTGAAAACAGTCTAAGTTACCCTGGTTAGCCTTAGACTTGACATCTTCCCGCTTTGGTCTCCTGAGTAACTGGGATTATAGGCATGCAGCCCATCTCTGCTTTTAAATAACTAAACCACTCTAAATATTATGGTAGAGAGGACCAACACATTATTCAGACTTTAAGAATCTAGATAGCCTTTCCCAGTTCAAGTTACATAAAAATGATACCATAATAACGCTAAAGTGGTCTTCCTGACACAATGATCAAAATCACCACTGAACAGGAAAGGAAGCCATTGTTCTCAGTGTAACAAACTGAAATTCTTCAGAAGGAAAATGACACAGACATCTGGTTGGGTCCCTTGGATGAATCACTAAGGCTTTCAAAGCACACTGTATTTGTGCAGCAGTAGAACTGGGAGCATACTTCAAAGGAATGCTGTAAAAGTTAATAAGTTTATTTATATCATGCTTGAAGTGCCTTTGAAGAAATTAATATACCATAATTCATCATAATTCAAGGATCAAGGATGTTTCATATTTCCCCTTGAAACTTTCATCATCAAAAATAAAACTGTATACAATCAATTTCACAGCTCAAGAAACCAAGATAGTAAGGTTATCCAATTCACTCAGGGTCAAATACGTTGAGTGAAACCAAAAATGGAAGCCAACAAGGAAGAATTTTATATTCCCATATATGCACTTCTAAACCAAAATACCATGCCAGATTACATGGGGACAACTATCAGAAGGGCAGGCTTCTATATCTATACTCATATCCAGCTATTATAAATGTCAGGGAGCTTATATGCTCATTTGCAAAGTTAAAAGCAAACTTCATACTGCATAACTAATAATACACGGGATTCTAATTCAGGCTTAAGTTTTTGGAAACTTTTTCATTATGTATAGTGGAATATACTCAACTACATGGACAATGAAAGAATCAAAGAGTTTGAAAATAATCAGTGAGCTATGTGCTTTCGTATCTGTCATTACTGTGCTAACTCCTATGCATACTTTAAATTTACTTATCCATATACACAGATCACACAGATCAGTTTTTTCAGTTGAAAGGAAATACCAAAAGCCATGTGATTATATTGATAAAGGCCCCAAACAGGAAATAAAGACACAGGAAATTCATATCTGCTTCCCAGAAAACAGAATTAGAGGTCAGAAAAAAGTACCAGGCTGTCTTTCCTTATAGGAAATGTACAGACCAACCATAGAAACCAACATATTCTCAAAAACAATAGCACGTGGCATGTATGTGGTAGAGAAGATTTGTATTGTGAGCAGGGTGTGGATTTGATGTCATTTTGAGCTCAGCCAATATTCTATTCTTAAATCACTAAGTGGGAAAGTCATCCTTATTATATACTAAGAACCCTCATAAATTACCAAGATCATCAGTTTAATGGAAATATGAGAAAGAAAAGGAAAATGCAACTCGGGAAAAAAAAATTCCTTAAAAATTAAGATGTAAATCAAACCAACTGTGAGATGTAACTTTCCATCTAGTAGAAACTAAAGTAAAAAACTTTGTTAAGGCAGTATTGGTGAACCAGGAGAAACAAACACTTGTTACAAATTATTAGCACTAAAAGCCTTCCTTTACCTTGATTTCAAGATAATTTCTCAATTACACAAGACCTTTTGAGCATATTATCAGAACCCTCATCGCTGAGACTGCTTCCGAACTCATAAACTTAATGCTGCTCATGTGCCCCAAAGCAAGCCAGGAAAAAAAGTTGAAATATTAACAAGCTATTTTCCTGAACAAATGAGGGTCTATTTTAGAGGAAAAAACCCAGAAATTTTAGGGGCAGAAATCCAAGCTAAAGACTACAGAACATATACTGTAGGAATTAACCAGTTCAATACTCAATTTTTTATATTTCAATTTCCTATGCTGCCCTACTTGGTCCTCACAACTTTATAAGCCTAGTGTCTTTATTTCCATTTTATACAGAAGTAACCTGAGACCCAAGGGTTATTAATCATATTGTTGCCGGGCGTGGTGGCGCACGCCTTTAATTCCAGCACTCTGGAGGCAGAGGCAGGTGGATCGTTGTGAGTTCAAGGCCAGCCTGGTCTACATAGTGAGTTCAGGTCAGCTGGGACTACAAGGAGACCCTGTCTCAAAAAGACAAAAAAA